ATATATACATACATTTATTGAAGACAAGAGGACTGAAGACACAGCAGCCCCCGTGGCTCATAATGGATATAAATCCATAGTGCAACCAGAGGTAGACGATGATGGTAATAAACCATGGACTGTTAACGTGTTATACAGTATTAAGGCACAGGTTTTCCCCAGAACTTGATCGGTTTTCAGAGTCACAGAGTTTGTGAAATGTTACGACGTAGTGTACTCACAGGGGTGAAAACAGTATGACAGAGGTGGGGGTGAAAATGTGCATAATTAAAATAATTACAGAAAATTACAGCCATCTGACTGTATTTCCACCTTGTTTCAAAGCTCAAGTCAAAAACGAGTTGAAGAAAATGGGTTATTGAACGTTAGGTTCAATGTCTGTATAAATCCCTGCTGTGTGACAAGAAGAAAAATGGAAAGTGTAAAAGTCCATTTTTCATCACTGCTGACGATGACGGCTGTGGGTGAGGATTTCATCACAACAATCAACGATTTTTCCAACAGGGGAATGACAAATCAATTATATTTTACACTCTGTCCAAGTATGAGCCTGGCCCTTTGGCTTCGCCTGAGGAGCATCTTGTTAAATTCACATGAAAATTGATGTAAGGGGTGGGGTCGTTTAGTGACAAACATGATGGTGGTGTTCAAATATCAACAAAGGGCTCAGGAACTGTTATCACCATCACAGACAAAGATTATTCATCACATTTTGGGGACATTGTCATTTTGCTGTCGGCTGAACTTCCAGGTTTAATGGTTTGAAGGCTTCACCTTTTTCATGAAAACTGGGTAAATGTAATTTTTCTCTCTTTCTGGTCCTCTGAGCTGAGGACGGAGACCGAGAAGACCAATTGAAATGAACCAATTAAATCTAAGAAGCGTTCCTAATCCTGCAGTGTTCACCAGGATTACACCTGGGAATTTTCAGTTAGCATCAAATAAATAAATAAAAAAGATTTTAAAAAAGGGCAGAGCTATGTTATTTACTTGCTAAGTCTTGTCTCACTCCTGTAGTTATGTGAAACAGACTGTTGGACTTCAGAGGTGCAGGTCAGCCTGTTGTTGGACGAAAGGCACTGATGTTAGCCAGATCTTTGGTAAAATCACTGTTAAGTGCAGGAAGCGTGTGGATGTGGGCAGTGTGGAGTCAACACGAGGCATGAACAGCCTCCTGATACTCATTTTTCTAAGTTTACCAGGTGAGTCATGCACTTTCTCCGGGAACTGTTTTTCATTTCACATCTGCTTTACAGTCGCTCCAATGACTATCAGCAGAACAAGCTGCAGCAGGACCAGTGAGGTGTGATTAATCTGTTGGCCCCCAAATGCTCGATAGTAAAAGCTGTAAAATGTTTGACTTCAGGTTCGTTTTCATTTCTCTGTCTCTTTGTCGTGAAGTAGCCAACACTGCAGGCCAGAGGCACAGAAACAGCTGCTGTTTTGGAAACAGTTGATTCTTGGGTTTGCTCAAGGAAAAGGTTTTGGAAACTTAACATTACTAAGAGCTAATAAAA